CGTGCGCGAGCAGCGGGCACTTTAAGAGCGACGAGGAGCGCGATTGGTGGGTGAAAATGCTCGGGCGGATGGGGTCGTAGCGACTAAAAAACAGTGAAGGCTCAGACCGCGAGTCGGCCTCTCGCAGCGCGGCGAGAATGTGCACGGACGGAATCTTGTGATACTCTGTCTCGCGCGCGCCAGCCGCCACACCCCCACACACACCGCGCACACCGCCCCGCGCACGCCCGCACGGCGCACCGGCCACACCGGCCACCGCGCGTGCACCTGCACGGGCAGTCGGGCACGCCAGAGAGTCCGCGCCGCCGCACAGAGACAGGACCCCACACGCCATGATTTTCTCATAATTCAATAAATATTATATTAATTCCGGGGACACAGGTCCCGGTGCACGGTGGGTGCAACCGCCACAACCGACCCCAGACTGGGACCCCCGCCACCTGCCCACCTCAAGCCTCCGGGTCGCCGCGGTGCGGTTCGCGCAGCGCCGCGTGCGCCTCCGCGGTGCGGTCGGCCAGCACCTCGTGCACGAGGTGAGAGCCGCCGAGCAGCGGAGTCACGTGCGTGCGCAAGCCGGCCGAGCGGCCCCGCGCGGCGTCGAGGATCTGCTCGACGTCGCCGCCCGGCCCGGCGTGCCTGCCCGGCTGCAGGAAGGCCATCGCTACGACCACGTCTCCGCTGTCGTACGGCGGAGCCCCTCCCACCACCCGCTCGAGCAACGGCTCTGCAAACGCGTACTGCTCGCCCGGCCGCCGCTCCATCGAGGCGGCGATCACGGATGCGCGCGGGCCGAGGAGCTCGGCGACGGTCGCGGCGAGCCGGTCGCGCACCGCCACGACTGCCCGCGAGGCCGACCCGTGGTCGACGACCACGACTCGCAGCGGAAAGGACAGCCCTCGCGCGCGGCCGAGCCGGAGCACCGCCGCAGCGAGCGCGCGGCCAACCCGCGCGTCTGCGGGTGCGGCCGTGTCGACGAGGCACGGCGCCGCGGCGATGCGGCGCGGCGCGGCGGGGTCGGCGCGCGCCGCGCGCACCGCCTCGGCCAGCCCGTCGCTCGGCCCAAGAAAGAGCGGCACGATGGCGGCGGCGTCGACACCGTCCTCGGCGAGCTGCCGCAGCGCCGACTGCAGCGTGCGGGCCGGCCTGCCGGCGAGCGCATCGGCGGCCACGCCGTCGGACCAGCGGAGCGAAATGGGCTCGACCGCACCACCGGTGAGCAGGGAGAGCCGCTCGGCAGCCGCGCGGAGCGCGAGCGTGGACGCGGCCCGCTTCGAGCCGTTGTCGACCAGCAGCGTCGCCGGCCTCGAGCCGGTGGTGGGAGCACCGACTGCGGCCAACAGGAACATATATGTTGTGTAATCGCCGAAGGAACCAGGTTCGTTGTGAAGAGTGGGCGCGCCACCCAAGAGCCTAGGTAGGTGCGGATCGGCAAGGCGCAACCAATCTTTTTGCCTTATTATATCATCCTTGGGTTGTGATCTAAGAACTTGAAAGCAACCACGCACCAGGGGGCGCACAGCAGCACGGATAGCCGTTGCTGTCTATAAATATATACGCGCGACCTCCCGCGAGCGCGGCGGGATCGGAATTGCGGCCGGAGGGAAGGGCGAGCCGCCGCCGCCGCCGCCATATACCATCAGCGACGACGACCGCGGCTCGCCCCAAACGCCAGGCGCTGGATCGGCAGTAGGGCTTGGGCGGCGCAGCGTAGGCCTCGAGCCACACGAGTCGCCGACAACCCCCCCTCATCGACGTGATGGCCGCACCCGCTGCCGGCCGATGCAAGCTGCCGCCTCCACCGCACCAGCGACACTGGCCGCGGCTCGCCGCCACGCGCCGGCTCGGAAGAGGGGCTGTCGGCAGCGCAGCAGAGCGGCACGCCTCGTCATTCGAGCAGCACCAGCCCCCCTCTTCGACGTGACGGCCGCTCTCGGAGCCGGCCGGTGCGCGCCCGACCCACGCCCCCTCTCGCACCCCCCCGACCCCCCTGCGCGGCGCCCCCTTCCACTGCGCGCCGGCTCGAGCGCCTATTGCCAAATCGCGACTTTCGAGCGCAGTGCGTGCGCCCCACACGTCACGCGCGCGCAGGAGAGCTTGCGGGAGAGCAGTACCGTATACTCGCCGGAGGCATCGCGCCGAAAACCCCACGCATTCCACCCCAACAGAGGCTGCAGGAGGCAGATGGCCAATAGCGACAATCGTTACGAAATGTTGCCTCTCCGGGAGCTCTCCAAGCTGTCTTGGGTGGTAAAACAACGCATTGGCCCCGTTATGAAAGCCGGCGTGAACACGACAAACTGACGGATCCGCTCCTGACAGTCGCACGCACCGCGCTGCGGCGCGCTTTGTTTGAAGTCAAAAGTCCCCAACTTCAGAATCATCGTGCTTTGAGTGGGGTTGTTTGGTGTTGGGGTTTGGGTTGGTTGAGTTGGGTTGTCCGAGTGGGGGCCAACCTCGGAATGTAACACCAGGATGGCTGTGCTGGCTCCTACACAGCCATCTTACCTAAGGATGGCTGAGCTAGCTGCAGTGCAGCCACATCCTCCAGTGTAATGGCTGCAATACACACACGGCAGCCATTCCTTGGTAGACATGGCTGGAGACGCACTACCGCAGCCATACCGCCCGCCTCGAGGTGAGCCCTCTTGGCTTAGCTGGCTACATCGCAGCCATCTTGGGTAAGATGGCTGTGGGGACAGCTATTTCAGCCATCTAATATGGCTGGGGCACAGTCAGTGCAGCAATCCTCCGGAGCATGGCTGGTGATAATTCGATGGCAGCCGTCCGCCTCCCCCGCCACACGCACAAATGGCTGCGCGCTTGTCGCCCCCCGGCCTCGCGGGACGGCTGCCATCGGCTGCCATCGAATTACCACCAGCCATGCTCTGGTGTCTGGAGGATGGCTGCCTAGAGCTGTCAAACGTTAACTTTGGGCCTAACAGTTGCACTATG